AGGTCTTTGGGCTGCAGAGAGATTTTTTCAGGTTTCAGCGCCCTTAGTTTGCTCCAGGAGGATTCAGGGGGTGTTGGAGCGACCTGCGACGCACTTCTTTATTCCCCGTCCTAGACCTCCATGCACGTGGCCTCGTATAAACCCACTCTAAACTCGGGATCCTAAATGCTCGAGTTCGGCGTTGGGCGTCCCATCGTGTGACGTCACAAGTCCAAACACATCGAATTCCCACTGGGGCCTTAAGCCACAAGCCCGGGCCCATTCCCCCCTAGGAGTGCACAACCGACCCAACCGCACAGAATGCGGGCCCATTCTCCCTGGAGCGGTCAGAGAATCCCGCCGAGAGTCTCGCCTACCCGCATCCAGAGAATCTCGCGGATTATTTCAAGGGCTGTCTCGGAGAAAAGCAATGCCACAGAATCCTGCATTGAAGCAGACTTTGTGATTTGTCCCACATCGGCAGGACTTCTCCCACGTAGATTAGCTGCAGGGTGGGGGGATGGTCGGATGAAATAATAGTTTAGGTTTCAGGGCTCTTGTCACTGCACGCGCATCCTAAACCCTAAACCCTAAACCCCCATCAGCCAAGCCAAAGGCCGCCGGGAAGACGTCTGCCGGGAAGCAGGCTGTTCAGGCCGCTCGGAACATAGGGAGACGTCCAGACTGCCTCTGCGGCACAGGAAACCCTCAACACCGGTTCCCAAACAGCACCAAAAGTTCCGGTTTATAGGTTTACGGTTTCTATATCCCCCTTGGGGTTGTTAAATTTTTGTTTATATAAAGCCCAAGAGGACTTCAAGAGGATATTAAAGCATGTTATGTTTATTCAGGTTCTAAGGGGAGTACAGGTTTACCCTTCTGACATTACGCTCAGGGGGGTAGGTTTGCCCACAGGCCCACAGGCATTCCTTCGCATGACGGGTTTGGGAAGGGTTCGTATGTTTGTTCATGCAAGTTCCCTTCGTGGCATAACCTAGAGAACACAATGCTCGCAGGACGGGTTTGGAAAAGAGTCTTATGCTTCTAGCGCAAGGTGTCTTTCTGGGCATGCCCCCCCCCCCCCAGTTGCAAACACAATACTTGCAGGACGGTTTGGAAAGGGTTCGTATGCCTGGGCATGCAGAAAAGCGCCACACATTCTTGTGTTTTTTTAAGGGCTCGCAATGAAAGTTCCCTTCATGGCCTGATCTTCTTTAAAACGCAAGCGGGCTCCACCAGATGCCAACACAACTCGCAGGACGAGGCGCAGCTCCCACAACCATTTGCAAACGCAATGCTCGCATGTTCCCTTCATGGCACCGGCGCAGTCCAAAACCCCATGTGGCGCGGGAAAGGCAGCCCCTCTCCCCGCAAAAATGTTAAGAAGCATCTAGACCCCGCCCCGCAAAAAACACTAAGAACCATCCAGAACCACGGCAGAGAGAGAGAGCTTTAGAACCTTAAACCCTAAATGTCTGGAGCCCGAAACTGTTGTCGGGGGTTGTTGGGCTCGTGGCTTTGAGGACCCCGAGCCGATTTCAAAGGTCCCGCATTTCGGGAGGCAGGGCTAGGAACGCAGGTCCGAGGTCCTCAAATGTGGTCCCATGGAGGTGAACTTTCTTGACACCTTTCCAAACTTATAGACCCACAGTTTCAGGGTTGTTTTGTTGACTTTGGGGCTCTGCAGCTTGGGTTTTTTCGGTGCCCTGAAAGGCAGCCATCGAAGTCTTCCGGGAAGAAGGTGCCCGAAGGCGCCATGGGGACACTGTTGGGGCTTCGAAGTTTCCTCCGGGGCAGCTTGCATCTTCAGCATAGCGCCCCAGGAGTCCAGCCTAAGGCCGTTAGGATCCAAAAGCTTCACTTGTGGCTGCGGCACGATTGAAGCCATGGCTGCTTCGGTAACAATGAACTGACCAGGCTGTAAGTCGCAGTATTTGGGCGTGATGTCCCATTGCAGGTTGGAGGCGGATGAGTTCATTGCGATGTCAGCGCGCGCCCCAGTCAGATCTATATACCCTCCGAGCCGCAAGCGAGCGTTGAAGACGGAGAAGCGAGCCGGCTGCGTAGCCTTGAAACTCTCACTTCGATTGCACGTGATGCAGTTTGCAGGTGTTTGCTTTCCGACCATAGCTCGTCTCATCACGATCTATTGTATTGAGTCCCGACAACAGGGAGCTCCCCAAAACTGCAAGACCCAAGCCCGAGGACACGCCCCCAAGCCCGGATGCTAAAGGGCTCAGGGGTCTAAAAGGTCCGGAAGCACAGAAACGGGTGCGGAAATGGGCTCAAGGGTTTAGGGTTTAGGGTTTATTAGTTTACTAAGGGGTATAGTATAAGGACGAATCCCTAGAAGGGACCCTGAATCTTGTTCCCCTAAAAATCCCCTATGTATATCTTATATAGTCCCTATGTGCCTCAGTAGCCCCTCAATAACCCCTGAATGACCCTCAGGTCCCTTTTTGAGGATGCCCCCTTTAGCCCCTTAAGTTTCAGCCCTAAACCGCAGGTTTTAGGGGGAGGATCTAAGAGACACTCAGGAGTACCTCCTCAACACCGGCAAGGCGAAGAGCGTTGGTGCCCAAGAATAGAGGATCCGTTGGTGATATGGGGGGTTTCCACAACCTGGGGTTTAGGGTTTAGGGGTTTAGGGTATAGGATAATAAGAGTTAGGGATATGCAAGCTGAATCCTCCTGCGTTTAGTGCCCGTGTTCCCAAACTTAGGGCAGCTTTGAAAGCCAAATTGCTGAACTAGGAGGTTTTTTGCCTGGGCAGTGCTTGTGGCTCTGGTTACAGCAGACATTGCATTAGGTCTCTGGAATAGTTGGCCTCTAGATAAGTAGAAGCTTCCTCATTTCTTGCGAGGGCGGCTTGCACAAGCATCTTTGCTGACAAACCTTGGCGCGTAGCTACCAAAACCCCACAATAGCTCGGCAGTTGCTTGCTTCGGGCCTCTTGCAGGTGTTTCTTCAGCCCATGTCATCTTCCCCAGTGACCATCCATGTTTGCGGCGAACACGCGGACACAACTGCTCTTTCCGGCTTGCCAGCTTCAGAGTGTGTAGCCTTTGGTGCGTGTGTCTAATCCAGCCTCAAGCCGCAACACTCTCTTCAGTTCGTCGTTTTCAGATAGGCTAAATTCGGTGCATGTGCAGCATGCATACCAATGGTGCCACACGAGTGCCACGCCTGCAGAATGATTGACTTGTTTTGTTCATGCCAGGCATGTGACATCCCGGCAGGGCTTTCTGTTCGGTGGCAAAAAAAGTATCTTTCGCTTCCAAAACCTGAAGCCCTTTTTGCCTTTCTGGGTTCCTTGTAACCAGCCATCGGAAGAAGCAGACTTTGTGCCTGGGGCTTCATGCAACCCGACTGTCTTACGCCCTACTCCATCAACCCCCCTGAGGTGCCCTCCCCAAGGTCGGGATGCCATGCCTTGCGCGAAGCCAATCTTTTCAGGACCGAGGGTGTATTTCTAGGCCTTTGTACGACTTTGCATCGGGTGACAAAAGGGATTGGCGCAAACATAATCCCAACTTAGAGAACCGGCCATCGTCCACAAGTGGAAGTTGGTTCTTCAAGCGCCGGGAGGTCGCCCAAGAATGTTGAAGGGTGGCCCCAAAGCTTCTTCGACAGACTAGCTCATGAAATGTTCAGGGGTCAACCGTTAGAGAGACCGCAGATGCCCACTTGCACGCAAGGCTACCGACCCATAACATGTCCTCAGCCAGGTCCTAACAAAAAATTGACTCAGACATATGTGGGACACTTACAGTAGCTTAGCAAAAACACGTTTCAACCCGAATCTTCTCAGGACCTGCTTGCAGCTGCGGAGGCAGCACCGCAGCCTGGCTAAAAGCCAAGGATCTGTAGCGCCTTCACAGTCCGAAACACGAAGCTCGGTGATTTCAGAGAGCTGCCCATATGGGGATTTTCAAAAAAAAGGGGTACCCCTTTTTTACCCTCAAAATACAGTAGCCCTTTTACGGGAACCCTGAACAGGGGCACCTTGGGATGTTCCCCTTTATCCTAGCAGTCCTTAATTTGTTATTATGACGTGGTGATTTCCCTCAGTTAGGGTCCGTTTGGGGGGTCCTTATTATAAGGCCCCCCCCCCCTTATTTAGGGTACTCAAGAAGGGACCATCATTTCGAGATCTGACCTTACCAATATCAACCCTAAACCCCACCAAACCCTAAACCCTAAACCCTAAACCCTAAACCCTAAACCCTAAACCCTAAACCCTCAACCCTCAACCCTCAACCCTCAACCCTCAACCCTCAACCCTAAACCCTAAACCCTAAACCCCAACCCGACCACTCTCCCCCAAGGTGCGCGGCTCTTGGCCGAGGCCCGCCGCGCAGGAAGCGCTGTTGAGGCCTCCGTATTGCTGCAGGGTTCAGGGGTTGCTTCTTTAGGGTTTAGGGTTTAGCGTTTAGGGTTAACGGTTTAGGGTTTCGGGTTCCGGGTTTGCTACTATTTGCCCTTAAGAATCCCAAACAGAAACAGATCAACATCCCAATACTGCCCCTGATTAGGAAGAATATTGTTAATTTCGGGTTCTTCTGGTTTTGGCTTTGGGGATGTGCCTGGTCAATAGCAGTAAGCAGAGCTGCTTGACGGGGAAAGCCTGCCTTCTGGCCAGCAAGAAAGGGTTTAGGGATGCAGCGCTGGGGTTTTGGGATGTTTGGAGTTTAGGGCATACAGGTCTTCGGGCAAGTTCTTTCGAGTTAGGGTGGGGGATTTGCTTCTGCGTGCTCCCTGCGACCCCCTATGCTCTGAAGTCCCGCGGGCGAAGCTTCAGACCCCAGGCCGAATCCCTTGCTTTCCCCCTGTTTTGCGATTGCAAGGATGGAGTTGGGTTGGGCGTGCAAAATGCTTTCGAATCAAGAAAGCATTGGGTGGCCCTGGTCTGGCTGGCATGCTTCTTGGCCCATGCTCAGCAAGGGCAAGGGGAAGACGCGCCGATGCACCCGCTCTCAGTCTCAAATCGGTAGGGCGTCCGATGGACCTTCCCAGGGCACATGGCCATGGTTTCGTATCGCTGGCTCTGCCTCGTTCTAGGCTACGCCTTGGTGGCCGGGTTGTGTCTAAAAGGCCCTCAAAATTCAACCCTTTCCATTCTTTTGCCATATAACCCTGTGAGGCTGGACGCCCGCTTGCAGAGACTTCCGTGTCCAAGGGGGACATCAACTCGGACAATAGCTCATCCAACGAAAGCGTCCATACCACTGAGGTTCCAGAGCCGATTGGAGAGCACCTGGCACGTGCTGCAGGGCTGAAGACCCGGATGCCGGTCTACCTTCAAACTGCCGCCGCCTTACTGAAACCTTTCCTCCTGGCCCTGGTCCTGGGGCCGCAACGGCCGGGTAAGAAGGAGCCCTGGCACAAGCCACTGCAGATCCTGATCCTGACCGTGGCTCCCTTCGTGGCCAGCTTCATCGCGGACTTTCGGATGACCTTTCACATGTGGTTCTTCATCGACGAGGAGGTGAAGCCCACGTTCCGCCTCCTTGGCACGCTGATGGTCATCGGCAACTCCCCGAATCTGGGCGTCTCACGCAGTTTCAAGTTCGAAGTTGAATGTGGAGTTAGTTACAAGACGGTGGGGGGAATAGGCGAGTGGCAAGAACACGTCCTCACAGACCCCCCCCCCTGCCAACGTCCGTTCGTGAGAAAGGTGCACTTCACTATTCTGTACCCTTTATATAGCAGTCATTCATGATTGCCGAAGGTTCAGTGAGTTCAGTGTTGTCTGGGCTTCGGGTGCTAGATGCCGAGTCTCGCTCCCACTGCCTGAGCTTGTTGCACAGAGACCAGAGGCAAAGCGAGAGACAGAGAGAGAGGGAAGAGTGTCGTCCAGTGCTAGTTGAACCGCCTGCACCCCATGGAACTATATGGAATCCAGGAATCTGGCAACGTCAAGCTGCATCGCCGGCTCGCTGATGCTGACATCAAGGGCCCATGGCTGGGCGAGGCAGGCGCAGCAACCACAGCATTCGGAGAATTCCGGGCCCCCGACCATCTCCGAACGTTTGCTGTCCATCTTATTGCCCTGCGTGACAATCGTGGGCAGCATATGCTTCGTGGTCACGGTGTTCCCTCTCAGTCTTTTCCTGGTGTCCACGGTGGTTGCCTACTTTTACATCAGCCTCCCCTTGTTGTTCATGGCTGCCGTTTTCGGCTATCGCATCGGTCCATATGGAATGCTGGGCCTCATGAAGCTTCGGAAGGCAGTCACAGAGGTGTGCTGCCCGAAGCCAAGCGGTAGCTATGAACTCTGCGACCTCCAACCGTCTGAGGAGGCACGAAGGGGCACTCCTCACACCTCCGCTCGACATGCACAGCTCTTGCTTCAGCGTTGCCCTGTGGCCAGGTGCTTAAGGCTTATGCAAAGGGGCTCCCAGAGGGTTTGGACTACAAGCAGATGTTTCTGGAAGACAAGGACAGCGGAAAGTCTGAGGGCGTCCACGCCATGGTGGCAAGAGTTCAGGTTAAGGGTTGAGGGCTTAGGGTTCGGGGTTTTAGGGTTTATAATAGGGTTTATAATAGGGTTTATAATAGGGTTTATAATAGGGTTTATAATGGGGTTTTAGGGTTTAGGGTTTCAGAGGCAGGGGGATTCAGTCTGTTGTGAAAAGGTTTGGTCTCAAAGGCTTCAGGCCCAACCCTATGACCCAGAGAAGATCTTGGGATTCGCTTCCCTCCTTTGAAGAAGGAGTGGGTCGAACTGACTGGCTCCACCTACGAGGGCTGGGCAGGATATTTCTTGCTCGCTGGCTGCACAGAGGACGGATCTTCAGAGTTCCCTGAACCCGGAACCCAGATTTCCATTTTGTATCTCAAACTGAGGCTCCCTGCGATTGCAGCCTTCTTTCCACTGGCCTCTTCAGTAGCGGTGCGGCTGTCGGTGCGCGATGGCTACTGGCCGGCGCTGGTCGACTCCTGGAACGACAGGCGCGGAGAGGGCCGCAGTGCTGTCATTCATGGTGTTTAGCTCCTAGACTCATAGAGATGGCTTCTACGCCTGTGGTGCCCCTGAATATGCTCCTTATACTCCCCAAATCCCAAGGTTGCAACTTCAAGGGTCCAAGGTAGAACTTCAAGACCTACGCGTTTTAAACGACAAACCCTAGGATGGGCTTTGTGGGTGGTCTGCTGGGTGGGGGACAACCCCATCAGCCCCTCTTCAAAAAGGGTTTCGGCTTGGTAGCTGATGCCTCAAGTCTGAGTTCAAAGAAACGTGGCATTTTCGTTCTAAGGGTTTAGGGTTTAGGGTTAGGGTCTAGGGTTTAGGGTTTTAAGGGGAGTAAGACAAGAAAATTTTCGCAGTCCTTGGGCGAGGCATTGGAACACTTGGATTGACCACCTGCTGGCAACGGGCACCAAGGTGCGGAGAAGCAGTTGAGGGTGAATAGGGTGTGGGCTCCCGTTGAGTGGCGACGCTTCCGCGGTTCTATAAGCTAACAGAACAGGAGATACTGGGACGACCAACTTGTTGGGAATCGTGGGGTCAGATCACGTCTATTTGCGAACATGGGATTAATGCCTAGAACTTGTTTACAAGAATAGCTGCCCCCCTCTGCCCCCCCCCCCGAAAGAGAAAGAGAGACGGAGCGTCGCAGCCAATCCAATTCCAACCTGAACCCCCGTAAGTACCGTGGGGGGAGTCTGAAGCCTCGCTTGCCAATGCGCGCGCCTTTCCGCTCGAGAGTCAAAGGGGGTGCAGCAGGAAGAAGAAGAGCTGCGTCCCAACCCCAAGGCCCCTAGCCACAGTCAGGGAGAGGGAGACAGACAGGGAGGGGTAACTTCAAAGCTTCTTCAGGTCGTAGGCAATGCCAAAGGCGTTGCGCCCAGCAGCGTCTTGGTGGCAGAGGAGCCGGGTTTTGAGTTTTGGTGTTCATGACTTTCTCTTGCCAACCCCCCTCCTTCTCCTCTCCCCCTCTCCCCTTCTGGAATCGGACAATTTTTGTTTCTTCAGTAGTGCAGTCAAACCTTACATACTTTCTTCTATGTTTTGAGCGGCAAGCCTTTATGTCCTTTCACCGGCTACCTCGCCCAAAGAGGACAGGAAGGTTTTCCAATCAACATACAAGAGGACATGAAGGAAGGCGTTCCAACCAACAGACAAAGGAAACCGATGCTTTACGATTGAAATGCTGAGCTCTGTTTATGAGGGGGTTGTGTGTGTGTGTGTTTGTTTTTAGAGTGGAGGGCTTACAATGCGATGAGGCACGTTTTTGTTTTCACGCTCCTTACTGTTATTGGGTTTTTAGGCTCTCGGAACGGACCCTGTAGAGTGCGCAGAGCCCCGCGCTCGCTGGAAAACAGAAAGCCAAATGCGATGTAGGGTTTAGGGTTTAGGGTTTAGGAAGTACATCGAATAGGGCATCCCCCGCGCCTTCTGCCCACCCTCCTCCCCTGCACTCCGAATCCCAGCTAGCGAAGGTTGCCACCATTACCTTGAAGTGTCCGAGAAGTGGCTGATGGTACTCAGCAACTTGATCTAGAATGCCGAAATCTGCACATGGAGCAGGGCTGTGATTTAGGGTAGAGTGGGTCCATGAGGTTTCAAAATTGAAAAATAGGCTTTGTACAGTGGCTCTGAAGCCCAGAGAGTAGCACGATTGCGGTGGTAGAGCCGCTGGTGTTTCATCTGGCGCTGACTGCCGGCCTGTAACTGCTTTGCTGCGGCTCTGTGGGTAGTTCTCTAAGTTAGGGTCCCTTTTAAGGGTCCTTTTCTGGGTCCTCTATAATGTGCTAACCCTAATTAAACCCTAAACCACCTGTATTGGTACTATATAGGGACCCAAGATAGATCCTTCATTTTGAGAACTACCCGGGTGGGGATGAGAGTCAGTCCCTGAAGATGCCGCCGTTTTCAAGTCGCCGCGATCGCTCAAAAGGATCCGACCTGGGTGAGCCCCTCCAGGGCTTTAGGGTTTAGGATTTAGGGTTTTGGGTTTAGGGTTTAGGGTTGAGGATTTAGGGTTTGGGATTTAGGGTTTAGGGCTGAACTCTCATCATTTGCCCCAGCTGCACAACTGTGCCATCTTGAGGATGGCGAGCAGCGGGCGTAATTGCTCCAAAAGGGCCGTAGGAGTTGACCCATCAGTTTGGGGTTCCATGTGCTTCAAGAGTTGCTCGGTCAGTTTTGCTAAAAAAACACTTCCTTAACCCCCTAAACCCTGTACCCCAAAAATATACCCTCTAAGTGGCTCGTCCAGTTATGCGGGTGCCAAAAATATGCCCTACAGTAAATCCTAAGCCCTTGCAGGCTGCGGAGGTGGCTCTGATCTTTGCCGCTTCGGAGTCGAAGATCTCTTTTTCGACCGGGGGGGGGGGGGAGGCTTCTGCAACGGGTTTGAGGTGAAGCTGCCTTGCCCGGTTGGCAGCGTACAGGACAGCTTGTACTCAGTTGTACCCGGTTGTGTTTAGGGTTTAGGGTTTAGGGTTTAGGGTTTAGGGTTTAAGGCTTTGTCAAGGCCCCGGTGCAAGCGTAAAAGCAGAGATAAAGCAGAGATTGCCCTGGCATGGTTGACATCAGCCTTTCGGATGTCCTCCCCGACTTCTCTAAGCCCGAAGTCATAGGAAGTAGGAAACACCAGAGATCCAGACTCCAGAAATCACTTCACCGAACCGGATCCAACTTCACCAAACCCCCAAACTGCGTAACTTGGAGAGAGACCAATTGCGGGGAGTCCCTGAGTCTCGCAGCCATGTGAGTATGAAGGTCGAAGACCTGATCTACCGAACCTTGGGATGTTCACCCTCATACTAGTAGCAGCCCTTAACCGGGATTATAATCCCCTATGTTAATCCCAACTAAGGAGTGTTAATATAAGGGGGAACATCAACCCAAAACCCTAAACCCTAAACCCCAAATTCGTCCCCTTCACCCAGGCCCTGGATCGGACCGACTTTGCACTGCAGCAGCTCAGGCCCCTTGATTGAAGCTATACTCGGAGGTTCAGGGTTTGGGGTTTAGGGTTTAGGATTGGGGTTTAAGGTGTAGGGTTTTGGGTTTAGGGTTTAGGGTTAGGGCTAGGGTTTAGGGGGTAGGTTTGAACATATTTTGTAATGTTTCTTACTTATAAGTACCCATGAACCTCCAAGTAGGAGGAGTCGAAGCAGTAGCTTCAGCTCGGCAGTCATGTCATTGTGGGTTCCTACCTTGCTGGGTTTGGGCCGTGGTTGAGCATGGCATGGATCTCTGACACCCTAAGCCCTAAACCCTTCCACCGCGATGAACCAACTAAGCCCCGAAATCGCCCTGCGATGCGGATTCGCCCCAGCTGTGCAGGAGGGAAAAAAACCTAAACCCTTGTGGGCCAAAGAAAAATCACGTGAGTCCGAGCCGGCTGCTTTTCGAGTTTGCGCTCCTTAGGCCACTTTCGCATGGCCTGAAATTCTCAAACCCTGAAGCAGAAGCCCTCAAAACGCCCTCAACTGTACAACTTTTGGTAGTTGACTAATTAAACTGCCCTTAATTGGGGAACCCTTACACCCTTATAGCATGGGGACCATTGCAACCGCCCTTAGATTATCAACCCTAAACCCGACTAATAATAAAAAAGACAACTCTCCTAAGGACTTATAAGGCCCATTAAACCTCCCTTAGATGAGTAACCCTAATTCTTATTCCTAAACCCTAAACCCTAAACCCTAAACTCTACCTAAACTATAAACCGTACTCCCTAAACCCTAAACCCTACTTCCTAAACCCTAATAGATGATAAACCCTCAGCCCTCATGCCTAAACCCTAAACCCTAGTTCCTAAACCCTAATTAAACCCTAAAGAAAGCCGTCGAGGTGCTTCAAAGGAGCCGAGGCGCTGCCCCTCGACACGCCGCTGCGGCTGCATCTTCTTACTGTTGGGTTTAGGGGTTTTGGGGTTTTGGGTTTAGGGTTTAGGGCTTAGGGAATGAGGTACCTTATATCCCTCTTTTTTTCATACCAAGCCCTAGAAGCCCTCAAAAGTTCTTTGGCGGAAAAACACCCTCAAATCCTAAAAACACCCTCAAATCCTAAAAACACCCTCAAGCCCTAAAACCCTAAAACCCTGAAGCCCCTTAAGAGTTGAAGAGGCAGACGTCTCAAGGATCGCTCCCTGACAACTCCGACCCGAAAGCCGCAACACGCCGAAACCCTAAGCTTGGCGGGCGACAAAACAGAACTGAATCCTATGGTTGGAACCATGAGCCCTCAGGGTTTAGGGTTTAGGGTTTAGGGTTAGTATTGTCCCTTGCCCTTGGTAAGTATGGGCCCTCATTCGTGTATATAAGGGTTGCAGAACAAGGAGCCCAAATTAAGGGCCCATACCTCGGATCCAAACCCTATGGTTGCGCTGGAGTGAAGCCCTGCTGTTGCAGAGAGGGCTTGCAGAAAACCCTAAACCCGAAGCCCTAAACCCTAAACCCTAAACCCTAAACCCTAAACCCTAACCCCCCCCCCCCTAAACCCTAAACCCTAGACCCTGACCATTTCCTGGTACTCAAGGCCCGTGCGCTTCTGGGAGGACCGAGACTGGCGAGTGAGATCCATGCGATCCCAACAGGCGGGGTCATGGCAAGGGCAGCCGAGGGCTTCTTCGGGCTTCTAATATAGGGTTTAGGGTTTAGGGTTTAGGGTTTAGGGTTTAGGGATTTCCGTGTGATTATATAAAGAACCATAAGGGAATATTATTAGCAGTGGATTAGAGTTTTGTGGGTTTTTAGGGGCGGTGTCTCGAAGCTGCTTTTCAAAAGGGGCATTGAAAGCTTCAAGGGCTGCAGCCTGGACTTCGCGAGCCCGTTGCGGAGGGAGCGGGCCCGGATTGCAGTCACACTGCTTCCACAGACTTTGAAGACACATGACGGCATCTTCGGAAGGTCTTCCTTACGCAAGGCACATCTGCTAGTCCCTTAAACTCCTGCATCCATTACCTTTTTTTGAACCGGACACGGACCTGAAAAGTTGAGATTCTGGATTTGGGATACGAAGGCAGGGTGTGTACTGCGTCAGACTTAAGCACCGGCTCTTGCCAGTGCCTTCTGGTGTCAATCAAGCAGAAGTCGGACGGCTCAGCTCTGCAATCCTCCGCTGCAATGTCCCTAAACCCTACACCCCAAACCCTAAACCCTAAACCCCAAAACCCCAAACCCCAAACCCCAAACCCTAAACCCTAAACCCAAACACCTAACGCCCTAAGCGCATGTTTGGAGTCGCCCAGAAGCCCTCTGTGAGCTCTAAGCTCCAACTACGCCCCGTAAACCCCGACGTTCCCCCCCCCCCCCTCCTCCGCCTGCAACGCTTTTGAGCCCCTAACCCTAAACCCCAAACCCTCAAGGCCGTCCTAAACCCGAAGTTTTTCAAGCCTAAACGTCAGGTTCTGGCCCAGCGCCGTAAGCTCAGGGAGGCCGCTGTTTTGGGTTTCGTTTAGGGTTTGGGGTTTGGGGTTTAGGGTCATGGTTTTGGCCGAGGCTGAGTTGGGGGGTAGTATCTTTTCCTGGCAGTTGTCCGCCGTCCAGTTGCGAAAGGAATTAGAGTCCGGACCTCAACTATGCCAGTTCTTTTGCGGTTCGGAGCCTCAGGGCTTCAGAGGTTATGTGGGGTTCGACTTCGGTTCGGGTGCTGACTTGTGCGTGCGAAGTGGGGTCGTATAACCACTTCACTCGCCTGCAAAAGGCACAAGGGGCAATGCCCAACTCAGCAAGATCATAAGTTGCGAGCATGAGGCGGAACATACACAGGTACATGAGATGCTCGGCCCCTATGCCCTCTACACGCCATCGGGCTTAGGGGGCTTTGAGCACAGGAGCTTGATGAGCAATGGACGCAGGCGCAAACAGCCGCTGGGCCAAACCTTTTGAAGGATTTCCGGCCAGGTTTTTGTCATAGAGACACCGGGGGAAATGGCTACCACCTCGGGTTCGAGGCTTCACTTTGCGATCGCGTTTCTTTCCATGCTTCCTGCTGTTGAAGTCGTGCAAGCCTGGAAGATCCCCCTTATAAATCGAAGGGCCCATGACTCCAGGCTTTCCGGCGGCATGCAGGATAACACAGTAGCTCCGTATCATATGCAGGGTAATCATCATAGCATTGCTTATTGAATAGCATAGTATGGCATTATCGCAGCAGCTGCATCGACATAACTAAGCCATGAGCCCCGAGCTCCGTGTGGTCCTATGCCGGAGCTCAGGCTCTGAATCGCATTCGCGCTTGCAGATTGCTGTGCAGACTCGCAGGCCATGTGGGGGAATCCCAGATGTGCAATCTTTGCCCATGATCTGGGGTTTAGGGTTTAGGGTTTAGGGTTTAGGGTTTAGGGTTTAGGGTTTGCAGGGGCTCTGGTGTGTGCATCCACTGGGTCTTTCCCAGCGCAGTCCCACATCAGCATGCGTGGCTTGTGGCTTGTGGCCAGCCACTCTAAACTCTTGTGAGCGAGCCAGCGGAAGCGCCCCAGAAGGGACCCTCATCTACTATTTGCTTAAGAATCCCAAAAGAATTAAGAATAATGATCCCTAGATT